TATATATATATATATATATATATATATATATATATATATAAATAAGTAAGTTGATGATTTTATAATACTTTTACTTAAAGGAGTAGTTCACTTAAAAAAAATGCTGATAATTTACTCACCCCCATGTCATCCAAGATGTCCATGTCATTCTTTCTTCAGTCGAAAAGAAATTAAGGTTTTTGATGAAAACATTCCAGGATTTTCCTCCATTCAATGGTCCAAATGAGAGTTTCAGTGCAGCTTCAAAGGGCTTTAAACGGCACCAGACAATGAATAAGGGTCTTATATATAGCTCATCAAAATGAACAAATCTTTTTTTCGAGTCATTTCATTCATTTTGATGACCGAGTTCAAACAGGAGAGTAACAAACGAGCATCACAGAACAGAGCAAGGCAAGCATTTGTGCTTATAAAACTTAAACTTTACTTATTTATTAAATGAGCGATCGTTTCGCTTGATAAGAACCTTATTCGTCGTCTGGAATCGTTTAAAGCCCTTTGAACAGTTTGCACTGAAACTGTCATTTGGACCTTGTGGACCTTGCAATTATTTTCGGTTCCCATTGAAGTCCATTATATGGAGAAAAATCCTGGAATGTTTTCATCAAAAACTATAATTTCTTTTCGACTGAAGAAAGACAGACATGCACATCTTGGATGACATGGGTTTTTTTTTTATTTTTTTTTTTAAAGTGAACTACTCCTTTAATTGAGTAAATGAAACTAGAAAAAGAAAGTAAATGAGTAAATGAAATCATAAAAAGAAGCCCTATTTCAGGAACAATATTTTCATAGCAATTAAGCACCAACATTACCGTAATGAGTCCAAACATTCTCCCCGCAATTATTTTCTTTACCGCGATACATCATTTTTGTACCAACTTTTTATTTGAACATTAATCTACATAAAGCAGCAGAACAACTACTGGAATAATGTTTAATTAATTATATTTACGTTTTGGCTTTATGCTAATAAGAAGTGGGGGCAAAAGTGCTCAATTGTCATGAAAATGTTCTCATTTCTTCAGATTTTTGGGGGTGAAATACCGGCCATATTCTTGATGCATTTGAAGAGTTTTGAGGAGGTGCGACTAAACCGCAACAACGATATACATCATTTTGAATCGTAAGTACAAATAAACCCAGTAATGGTGTAAAGCTCCCGAGTTTGACATATGTTCATTTTAAAATTCAATAGTGCAAACACACCAAGAACGCCCGGCCATCTCGAGTTTTTGTTTTGTGGGAAATCATTGCAGTATCTGGAGAGAGTAAAAGGCTCATCCATCCTAATGCCCATGGCTAAGTAAACACAAGAGTTTAGAGACAGAACCATCTGTACGTTTTAACAAGAGGCGTCCTTAGAGGCGAAACGCCTTTAATCTTCATATGTACTCGGCACTAAAACTACAATCTGTAAACTGCTACACTGCGTCCTATTAGAAACTTCAAGGGCTTAACGTCGCAGTCCATGTGGAGGCGAGGAAACGTTGTCCTTAATGTGATCTGAACAGCTCAGAGAATAGGGAGAACATTATTAAAATACATTGAATGCCCGCTATTATTGTACATGCAGCATCTGGATGTTTTTCAGCTCACAACCATTGAGAAAAACACAATGCGACTATATTTTTTAAGCCATCAATGCAATGGAAATAATCCTGTTAATCTTGAAATCTTCCTGTGAGGGAAGAACAGGGAAATAAAAGACGATTGAAACTGGCGTTGGAAACACATCTTTCATCTTTGCCTGCTCGACACCTTGTCTACTTGTGTTTCTTATTCTAAATTAAGACAAAGGGAATGTAACGGGTATGGTGTGTATAATTTATCTTGTGGAACAGATGAATCTTGTTTGTGATGGATGAGCAGTAAATGAACAGAAAGATGTGGGATCTCTAGCTGTCTCGGGGGGAGATGGGGGGTTAAAGGCCGCGATGCCATCGAGGGCGCTTCAGATCCTCACAAACGAAAGGGTTTTATCAAGGGTGCTCTACCCAAAAGGTCACTTGCTGGAGGGTTCACGGGCTTTGATGGTAATGAGGGGTCTTAGTGAGGAGTATCCTTTGGAAAAAGTGCTGTAGATGTACAAAAAATAAATGTTTGAGATTGTGGGGAATACCAAAGGATTTTGTGAAATGGAAGACGGATATGTTAATCCGTGAATATGATATTCCAAAGTAATTAAAGAAATGTTTCTGGAGCTCTTTGTGAGTGTCTGTCAAAAAGTAATGTTTTATTATTTAATTGTACTATGCTTTAGTTCGAGTTTTTTTGTAATTCAATATTTTTAGGGGATTTTATGCAAGATTATATTTACGCTGAATTTTAATCCATTCCAATTTAAACTGTCGTAAATCTTGAATGCTTTAAAGCACAAACTTAAGTTTGATCTCTTTTCAAAGACGACACTTGGCAGTGGAAGACACTTGAAAAACGTTTAAAAAAGTGAACTTAAGTTACAGAATTTTACATTTATTGTTTTGAAAAATGCACATTTTTTATAAGTGATATATATTTTCAAAAACACGTTTTATTTAAAACCGCAAGAAAATCAAAGCCATAAACCTAAACAAGTTGTGCTCCAAATTTGAGCCCAATATCTCAAAATAATTGCTTTCAGGAAGATTTTGGCCCCGTTTACACAAAGGGAAAACGCAGATATTTCCATGCGGATCGGCCTCTCGGGTACACGAAAACCCCGTTTTTAAAAACTCCGGCCAAAGTGGAGATTTGTGAAAACGCCGGTTATGTGTTGTCGTGTGAACTGGGAGAAACGGCGTTTTAGGTTCTCTCTTGTCGATTCTGAGGATTCTGATTGGCTAGCATGGCTTTATCCTTAATCCCTACACTGCCGCCAAACGGTTTGGCATAGTTATGATGGCCTCGACGGCGTATTTATGCGGGTGTGTGAACGATGTTATTTTTGAAAACGGAGAGGGGGAAAATATTTGTTTTGCTAAATACCCAGCTTTGTGTAAACGTGGCCTTTGTTTCCACTAGGATAGATGAAATTAATCCCCATTCATTTCCAATACGCACATTTTTGACTGCAAGGAGCACAATTGTGACTATTTTTTTTCAGGTCCATTCCCAGATAGCAAACTGACATTGAATCAACGTGGAAATATGACATCGAAACAACGTTGATCTGACATTGTTTTGCTCATCGAATTAACGTTGAACCAACGTCAGACGCGTCATTCTTTCAAAACTAACGGAAAATCAACTTAAAAATAAACGCGTTGTTTCAACGTTATGAAAGCAAACCAATTTTCGATTTTCATTTAGCTTTGAAGAATGCCGCGTCTGACGTTGGTTCAACGTTAATTCGATGAGCAAAATCAACGTTGTTTCAATGTCATGAGAGACGTCGTTTCCACGTTGATTCAATGTCAGTTTGCTGTCTGGGTTTAACCTTTTCGAAGTCGATGTTTTTTTTTTATGTTCACATAGCAAGTGCCAAAATATTTACCAAGTTTTGTACCGTTGCGATGGAGTTAAAATTTCTAAAAAAAAATAAATAAAAAAAAAACTTAAAATTTTTCTGTCAAAAATAACTGAAGAGAACCAGAGGGTTAACACAAATTGAGTTGTGAAATGAGGCCAGTTACATCAGAATATAAATACTGCAATCCAACGCATTCTCACCCCAAGGCGTCACCTTTGACCATGCTTCAATATTTGACGTTTTTAGGCGCCCTTTAGCGTCACTTACATGACGCGATCCTACGGCGTCATCTAACTGACGCTAAAGGAAAGCGTCAGTTAGAGGACGCGGTTAGGTTTAGGTGTGGGGTGGGGGTAGGGTACACGCGATCCTAGGGCGTCATCTAACTGACGCTAAAGGGCGCCTAAAGCGTCAGATATTGAAGCATGTCCAAATGCTTCCCAAGGCGTCAGTTAGGTGACGCCTTGGGAGTGAGAATGGGCTGTGCAATCCCATGAAGCACTACAAACAGAATAATGTAATTAAAATGGAGAAATATAAAACTACTCATTCAAAAATGTTGATATATATATACAATATATTTTAAGTTTATTTTATTTTAAGTTAATATGCATACACTGTAAAAATGAATATGCTTTATCTAATCAATAAAATTGAGGCAACAGATTACAGCAATATTATTAATTAAATTGAACAAATTAGAATTGAACAAATAATAATTAATCAAAAAACTTAACAAAAATATCTGAATAACAGACAGACGTCCAAGATTAATTAAGAACCCTTTATTTTAAATTGCCAACTCTGAAGACACCTGATGTTAACAAGCAGAATCACTGCGGAGAAAACCGTAATTTTAAAACAAACACAGATCACCATATAATGGTGACTTATGTCTGTTTTTTTTTTGTTTTACTCATTTTAAATGGTTAACTTTTAAGGAATTAATTTGATTAATTATTACTCAATTCTATTTTTAAATTGAATTAATAATATTGCCATAATTTTTTTTTATTAGATAAAGCGCATTCATTTTATATATTCAAATATGTCAGCATTTTGAGTGCATAGGGAGATTGACTCTATGCTATTCACTGTGCTCATTGGAAGAGGGCGAGGCTAACGAGATCTTTTGACAGGTTTTGCTTCTTTCTGATTGGTGGAATTTTCTGTACGGCAACATGGGTAATGTAGTTTTGTCTATTAATTTTCCAAAGTTAAACACGATTATTTTAAGACCAAGTTGAAAAAATGCAGACTGACGGTTCAACAAAAGCAAAAACTATTGATTCCACCAATTCCTAGCTCATTGTCTTTAAAAGTTTCTAAGTTAAGGTTAAAAATCAATTTCCCTCACTTTCAATGCGCATTACCGTAACCACAATTTATATTCGTTTCAACAAACTTAGCCACAAGTCAAATTATAATCAGCGAACTAATGCATCTTAGTTGTTTGAACCCAGAACATTTCTTTAATCCCAAACTATGAATGAAATGGTTATATGATATGAAATTTCTAAATAATGAATTATCAAAGAGCCCACACACATTCCCGGTGAGAACACTTTTTAATACAAGATTCAAACATACAGTGTTTGGTGGTATAAATGAACCAATGCCGTTTAACATGAAAGAGAATGAATAAAGTGGTTTTCGTCATTACGTTGGTGTTGAATTCTTTACTAGGTTGCACTTCATCGCAGCATCTGCGTGTTGTCAGACCTCAAAGGCGTCTCATTTAACACATCACTGTCATTTGTTACACCTGGCCCCCAAGGTCAACCTCAGCACCTTTAGAAATGCATTGCTTAAATGTTCGACGTCAACTCGGCTTGTCTCTGCAATACAGCTTGCACACATCGATAAAAACAAAAAGAAACAGAACTCATACACACAAAACATACTGACCGTTTCCCCCTCTTATCAAACGTAAAAGCATGATATTCCAGTTTTACGTATTAAAGTTATATTCATACTAATCAAACAAAATGCATATGATTTTTTTTTACTTCTGCAGGCTGAAATTCTGTAAAAAAAAAAAAAAAAAAATTAAGTCTAACTTGATTTCACAATTAAAAAAAATGTATAGACATCATAACTGTGCCGGAGAATGAAACGAATATTGCGATACAGATTAAAATCTTTAGCTCAGGGTTTGTGAAAATAACCATATAGATTGAATATATGTAATCTTATTCTCCATTGACCTACAACACTTGTAGGAAAAACAAGCAACCATTCTTAAAAGGGGAAACTGTTGTACTTTTACATATTCGTCATTCCGTTTAACAACATAAAGCAGCAGACTTAACATTGGCAAACAACAGCTATTTTGTAATCTGCATCTTTGGTTTTTTCCAAGTAAAATATTTATTCAGAGTTGTGCTAATGAGAAAGCAGTAGACTTAATGCTACGTAAACGTATAAATAATGTATTGAAACAAAAGAATCTGTTTTTTTGCTGATTTTGTATTCCTGTAAATTATAAAAATTATTTCTTACCTTACTGGCAAATTGCTCGAACTTTAGTTTCAACTAGGGCTGTGAAACGATTAATCGCGATTGATCGCATCCAAAAAAAAGTTTGTGTTTATATAATATACGAGTGTGTAGTGTAATTATTTTGTATATATAAAAACACACACATGCATATATTTCTTAAATATATACATGCATATGTGTGTATTTATATATACAAAATAATTATACACACTGCACAGTGCGCACACATATAATAATGTAAACAAAAACTTTTATTTTGGATTCGATTAATCGCGATTAATCATTTCACAGCCCTAACAGATAACTTTGCTTCTTTGTTAAACTGCAAAAATAATCAGTATTTTTTTTTCAACGTCGTACCAAGATGAAGTGCATGTTGCAATATTTTTGTACCTCAATCCTAACTTGTATCTTTTGCAAGACCGACATTTCCAACTTGAAACTGCTGGTACGTACTAAAGAGACATGGATATTGGTTAACTGATAAATGGAAGCATTAAAAAACGAGTTAGCATTACACCCCAAAAGTAAGCTACATCCATACATAACTCTCTGCATGGCCAAACAATTCAGTCATCTAGGGTTGTCAGAATCGAGGACGCATCACACACATCTTGCACACTACTACTGACCAGCCGTGACTACGTCACACCTTTATTATTGCAAATGTCACTTTTGAAATCAAACCTCAAAACAAAGGAGCGTAAAACGAATCAGAAAAAAAACACGAATCAGAAAGAAAAAAAACGATTACAAAAGGGCAACATTTTTCCCGACAACACAATCCGCCTTTTCTATTTTGTTAAATAAATTTAAAGCAAACAAAGAAATCCACTTAAAAAAAAGACAGATGAGGAAAAGCTATAGATAATGAATCAATCAATTACCAAGACTAAAGATTTACAAATTGCAGAACACTATATATTTATTGTTTTTAATAAACAATTTGAGGCTGTATCAAAAACTTTATAAAAAATTAGATCGTGATTTTATCAACCTTTTTTTCTGTGACGATTTTGTAAATGAAACCGGCTCTTTTCACTCCTATTCCAGGCCTTGCGCAAAGATTTTTTTTGTTAAATAACCATCACTATATATGTATAAAAAATAATCACCCCTCATCTAAAACAAACGGTAATATTTTTTCTCCTATTTTTTTTTCTTTTTTTTTTTTTTACCATATCTGATTTACACACGTTTTGACTATAAATACAGTTATATCCACAGGCAGAATATTATGTACAGAAGACACTTGCTGCGATACCACCAAGGCAAAATATGGCATTCAACTGCAAATATATAATAATAATGACATGACATAATAAACAATGCCGTTGTGTAGAGGATTGGGTCACTATTATCAAAATCATCAGTTTTTATTTAGAATTATTTTGAGTGGATCCAAGGCATATACTCCATAATCATCACTGAAATTATATATATATATATATATATATATATATATATATATATATATATAATTTTTTTATTTTAAATAACAACAGAAAAATAAAAGAAAAAGAAACTACAAATCATTTGAAACCAGAACTTGTTCTGATTAAATCAAGTCTGAAATTGAGCAATCGGTCTCAATGGCTGTCAGTAGCTTGAGTTTAACTGGTGAAACAGTATATTGGTGGTTTTGACTTGAGGGTGCTGAACATTGTTCCTGCAGTTTTATGAGAGAATTAAGGACACGGAGATGCCGTCATCCAATTACATCACAAGATTTCTTGATGACCTATGGGAAATATGACTAAGTGAGATCAGTACTGGGCTTCAGCCTGACAGGTCAAAGGCAGAATCTGCATAGACGACTCACTCATGAGATTACCTCCTCCAAAAGTTTCACATGGCCTGCACGAAACTATACAGCACTATACATTTCTCAAGTCAGAACATACTTTGCGATGTTCACTCAGTGATTTAATATTAGCTTTTTTTTCTTCAGAATTGAGGGGTGGAAAATAGTGTTTTCAGTGTGATACTTAAAAAAAGTAATAAAAATATATATAATAAAAATTAAAGATGTTCTAGCATAACTTTCAAATATACAGTGGATTAAACAAATCTTTCGTTTTGGCTACCTCTTCTTGTAGTGATTTAACTAGACATGTGAATAACAATAAAAACAGTTTAATTTTGTGTTAAAAGGCAAAACCATAATGAATCGACATCCCACAAAACTGTCTGCATGCCTGTCCAAGTCTCTCAAGGCCATTCTTCTATTCCCCTCCTCTTATTGAATTTCTCTATGAAACATTTTGCACCTGCAGTCAGCTTTATTGTCCGCTTATATTATTCAAGATTAACGAATTCAGAAGATAAAAAGAGTGCTGTTAGGCAAGGAGTTTGATTCTGAGTCAAAAAAAAGGAAAATCAAAAAACAAAGAAATAAAACAAAACCAAAAATTAGTGAAAAAAAGCCCATCTAGACACAAAAGCGCCAGGACTGGAGGGTACATCCCCAACAGTTTAGCAATAACCAGAGTAGTCAGAGGCTGAGGTTGTTCTTGCTGTCCTTCGCAGACTATCCACTCACCCCACCCTCCCACTTCTCCTTAAGAGTCCTGTTTAACAAAAACCTTCCCATCACATTCAAACCCAAACCCCCTTCTAAAAATCCCATAATGCAAAGAGACAACACTGGTGTGGAACTACAAGTTCCCCATCCTCCTGCTCCGGAGGTTTCAGCAAACATTAGGGTGGCACGTAAGGGGGTGGAGATCTGTATGGGGTCATGTTCTTAGGACGGGATCCTTTCCCCTCCATTGGGACAGTGAAGGGTGGTGGTGGCTGGTAGGGAGGGGCGTTAGGATCCTCATCGTGTAGAGGGGTGTACTCTCCCAAAAGGTCCTGGTTCAGAGGTGTTGTCTCTGGACTAGCCATGTTGGGATACTCTGGTGGAGGAAGCGGAGGCTTTTCCTCTTGAAGGATAAGGGGCATGCTGGAAGAGGGGGGTGGCTTAGAGTCATCGAGCTCATCAGCAAAAATAATGGGCACTCCTTTCTTGATGAAAGTTGCTTGGTCTTCTATAGTCAGCTTGCCCTTGCGCTTCTTGCGATAGCAAATCATGGCAATGATTCCGGCAATCAGCAAAATGGCTGCAACCACCACTGCCGGTATGACGGTGTGAAGATAAACATCATCAGTGCTCTGTCTTCCCGCGCCCACAGCGGGAGTAACAGGAGATGGGGTCGGATCGGGGATCTCACCTAGCGGTACAAACATGTAGTTACGGCAGCTTCCTGTGCCCCTGACAGTGATATTTATTGGCTTGAAGTCGGGCTCCATGACTTTGGTGAATTGTACAGAAGGTTTACCCTCATTATCAGAGATCTTTCTGCTCAATTGCTGTATTTGCTCTTTTGGGCAGGGGTTTTGCTGAAGGCTGTTGTTGGTCCATTCCACGATGATGGAGCCCTTGATGATGTTCTTCAGTGTAACAGTGCTGCCGTTTCGATCACCGAAAGACTGTGCCAGTTTCTTGACGAGAAGGATTTTCTTGTGAATGTCATTGGTGACTGTACGTGCATCCCCCTCAAACACAGCAGTAAACAACACCGGTGACTTAGCACTGGCACCCCATCGATTGACACGGACCTCAAAGGCATCTATTGAATAAAGACCTCCTTTGTCAGTTGCTTGCATGAAATACTCATGTTTTCCTTCGTGCCCCTGGTCTGGTAATCCATACAGCAACTGGCTTGTGCTATTGAACTGTATCCAGGAATCATCCCCAACTACCTCATTGCCTTTGCGCAAGGTGAGCCTTAACTTATCTGTAGTTCCATCCTCTTTGTCGAAAAATGTATCAGATGGAACCTTCACCTCAAAGTAGGTGCCAACGTAGGCATTCACCTGATCGATTGGGTTACGCAGCTGGGGTTTTACATTGCCATCAATAACCGCGGGAGTGGTGCGTCTTGGTGGTTTGGTTGTGGTGGACTTGGGTTCTTTTGGTGTTGGTGTTGTCTTGGGTTTCTTTGGAGGCCTTTTTGTTGGTTTTGTCCTGGTGGTGGGTGTTGCTGGGGTCACAGAGGTTCCCACATATACAGGCCTGGTCATGGTGGGCTGGATGCCAATAGTACTGGTGGTTTCCATTACACGTGTTGGTTGAGGGGGGCCTAAGGTTGGAGTGTAGGCAATAGGATCTTTGTTGTGAATGGTAGGTTTCACGGGAAGTGGCATAGGACCACGAACAGGTGGGGCAGAACTTTCTGAGGTAGGGGCAATAGAAGGAGAGGTTGGTGTGGGGACAATACGGATCGGGGGCTCAGGGTAAGCTGTTGGGGGGAGTAATGAGGGAATGGGAGTGGGGGTGTTGTTGAGCTGCCTTCGCACCCTTTTGGGTACATGGGGCTTTTTGTTAGCGATATGCCATCCAACAACTGGATACCCCAACTGTGCGGACATGGTACCCTCTTTTGCCGGGACCTGAACACTACTAATATCAGGAATGCTGCTTTGATCCAGACTGCAGCCAAGTTTCCAGGACAAAAGGGCTCCGTTTTCAACCACCTTCTTGGCATTTCCTGGTCCTGCCATGAAAGCAGACATGTCAAACAAACGGTTGTTAACCACTGGCAAAATCTTCATGTGCTGAAGCCCCATGCCAGAGAACTTTTTCATGTTGGCAAGTAGTTCAACCCTCTGCTTTGAGGTCATCTTTGTGAGGTCAGCATCCAGAATGACGGTAAGCACAGTAACGGGCTCCTCATTGCCACAGATGAAAGGTTGGACATCATTGCTGGCTGATTGCTGGATTGCAAGCTGAAAAGGGTCTGTATCAGCATGCTCCTCTGGGTGCACCTCAATGGAGAACACATCTGGGCTCTGGGAGACTTGGCTTTCATTGGAAACAGAAACAGATATGTAGTGAACGCCCTTGTCTGTCTCTAGAGGAAGGCCTTGAAGTGTGACACTCTCTGCATCCCAATGCAACCATGCTGGGAGCACATCCTTGCTTGCTTCTGTGATCTGTAAAATGGGAGGAGAAATAACGATTACTGCAACTGAATGACTCGCATCTGAAATTTAACAAGACAAATGAGCTTACAGTGATGCCAGACATGCACTGCCAAGTAAAACACGTAAAAAAACTGAAAGTAAATTTCACTTTTATAATGCGACTAATCACATGAATCAAAGTCGTCTTTCTCAAATGATACATCATTTTTTGTTTTTGTATATCTTTCCTGGTTGTGAGCATGAATTCAGTAACACAGGAGGAATGAAGACTATAATGAATGAGTGCTCTCAGAGTGGCATAGAGCTCCCTGCGGCATGAGATTCTCCACCAGCTGGAGAGCCATTCAATGAGCGCTCAGTCAAAAATAACCAATAATGAATCAATGGCATTGCGATGATCCGTTAACATAAGTCTCTTTGTAAATTCAAAAATGCATCCTTTCCTTCCATTCCCTTATTTGATTGGTAATTAATCCTGGTTAATACATTATGTAGAGCCAGCGCCCATGAGTTGGGCCATTAAAACTCAAACCAGTACATAACAGTCACTAAGGGAGCAGTGGCATCAGCAGATGGGCTTTTTATTTCAATTGACAGGCTTCAAAAGTTTAGACACAAAAATCCAACAGCACCGCGCCCCTCTCTGCCTTTCGCAATCCTGCTTTTGAATATTCCCATCTACCAGTCAGAGCATGTGTGCGAGTTTGACTGTGGACCTATTTGATCGCTTAGAGACATTAATAATTCAGGTGAGAGTCTAATTATAGGCTGATCTATAGTCTTGTTGATTGATAGTGTGCTTGAAACATCAACACTGCTGCACTTCAAATAGTACTTGGCTTGCACAGAACAGTTGTATTTTGAGGGTTTAAAGGGTTAGCACACACAATTACAATTCTGTCATCATTTACATAGTCGCAGCTTTCAAATTCAATTTGCTTCCAGATATTTTTAAATATGGCACCTTAAGAGGGGTCATAAACCATAAAGTGAAATGACAATTTAGTTATCATACTAAGCTAAACCTCTCCTTTTGTATTCCATGAAAGTCAAACCAAACTAAAATGACATGAGTACCAGCCTATATAATGGCAGTATTTTTATTTTTTGGGTGAACTACTCCTTTAAAACACAAAAATGGGCCACAGCTATCCATTACAGAATGTGTCAAACTACGATCAATTGTAGAATTATCCTTCAATTAGTGAATTGATTCGGCAATGCCACTGAATCTATATTTACTTTTCACCTCATTATCTGTAAAAACCACAGCAATATCTAATAGGCCTATACGGCACTGACAAAAAATACCTTACATATTCTGTTTATAGCCAAACTGACACCATACATGCATTGAAACATATGGTGCAGATGGCATGCGTCTACTTTTGGTGCCTTTTTAGACCTTGGTTTAGATTAAAACAGAAGGTTAAGGCAAGTATTTTTCTTCTGAAACTAGAGCATCAGTGGCAACACACACACAGCCACTGACATTTAGGGAACCACATAGTTTCCATAGTGATGATTCATGCAACCCACACTAAAGACAGTATAACTTCTGCCAAAGGCATGTTTCTCTTGACTTAAGTGAAGAAAGCAAGGAAAGGCAGAAACGAGTGCAGAGAGACTGTCAACAACAAGAATATTAGGGAGTTGGGTTTTTTCTTTCATATTTCAATTGCTGCGGCAAGCCTGTCAGGATGCTTCTGAATGGCACATGTAGAATGGGAAAGAAAATATTGCTACAGATCCAAGGGCCACAAAACCAATAGACCAACAAGGAACCTAAAAATGAAAACTGGATTCCATACAAGGAATTGCATTCTGACATTCTGTTAAACCGTTCTGTTCAACAGGAAAGAGAAAAGTCAAGAAGGTGCAAGACAGTGAGCAATCGATGACCGAATTTTCCTTTTAGATGAACTATCCCTTTAAAGCGGTGATGAACTGAGAAATCAAATTTTCCTTGAGCTTTTGACATATAAGAGGTTATGATATTATAACACGCATAGCTAAATAATACCTCGTGATGACAAACCGGATCGAGCTACCGAGCAATACAAAATATAGTGCAGTGCTGGTTGTGGAAGAAGACAGTCGCTGCATAAGCTTCCTCTGTATTCCAATAGGACTGATAAACTTTATTTTTAATGACGTTCCAGCTGATGAGGTAACACATTGTCCGTCTGTTCGCTTCATTTCACTGAGGATTGTTTTGTAAACAAGACTGGATTTGTAGACCGATTAAGAGTAAAGAACGGTGCTGTGCCGTCTATATTGGATCTGACAGGAATTGTGCAACACACGGACTCTGGGTCGAACATGTACGGGCGAATCATTCCGGTTGCCATTTTACAACATTGGACGTTTTCAAAACAATTTCGCCCATAAAAACCGAGCGTTTTTCAGCTAGGCTCAAAACTAGGGTACAAATTAGCCTATTACTTATTCGTTTTGATGTTTTTGAATGCGAAAACCAAGCGAACGTCATAAATTGACATCAGACAACAATATAATAAAATTTAAAAAGCCAGTTCATGACCCCTTTAACAACCTGTAGGACCTCAGTGATAGGGTTGAAATATTAAAATCTTTAAAGACCTGATGAGAAGAATAAACTTTTCCCCCCTGAAATGAAGGAATTACACGGATGAATCGAAACTCCCTTGGTTGTGGGTCGAATAAAGCTGCTCATTGTTAGAGCATGCTAGTGGGGGAGTCTGCAGGAAGAATAGATCCCATTGTTGGGATATGAAGACAGCTGAAAAGATAAGATTCATAGTTCTGAAGGAGTAGGCTCAGGCATGTCTTTGTGATATTAGAGAGAGAAACGGAGACAAAGGAGGCAGTGGGGGAACCAGCTTGAAGAGCCTTTTAGTTTGGTCAAGCAGATGTTTACATGAAATGACTAACCCATTTTCTTTGGTTAAAAATTCATGCGTGGTCTCGGAATACATTTAAATAAAGACCCATCACATTTTAAGGACAGAAGCATTTGCACTTCCAATTTTGAGACAGAATGATCTTTGAAAATAACCTACAGGGAAAACGGCAGACCTTTTTCAGCGGACTGTGGAACATGACCCATTTTTCTGCCGAAAATTACAAATGAAATGTGGGGTGTGTTCAGGTCACTTGAGAGAGGGATTTGCAAAATGTGTGACCGAGCTGCCCGTGTTGCAGAAATCAAAACAGGCTTCAAGTTGCCAATAGAAGTCCTTCATCTAGGTAAATGAAAGTTATCAAATGAATGCCGATTCTGCTTGCTGACATTATTCAGACAGGGAAAGAAAAGGTAACAGAATAAAGGCTCACCGGGAGAGCTGCTGTTTGTTTATAACAAAACTTTAAATTGCTATTCGGTGAGGAGGGAATGTCAGCTTTTGATCCATGCTGCGGAACAAGCATGAACAAAGGAGAAAACAGTAAATGTGCAGAGGGAAAAAAAATTGGGCCGTGAAGATAAAACTCATGAATGGCAAGCAGCATTCTTCAACGTGGATCGGTATCGAAACACGGTCACATTATGAAAGAGGGAAAATTACAGCTCCTTGGGCTGTGTCATTGTGGCGGGCAGGTGGAGATTGGGTATATGCAGTAACTCGACATTTGAATTCAACATAAGACCTATTTCATAGGACCTACCGGGAACCCTGAATAAAGAGGGATAAATACTAAACGAGGGGCTTATTTATGGTATAAATCCACAGAGCTCCATTTTCTGAAACAATCACAAGGAGAACAGTCAAGGGCACTTAAATAGTCAACCCGTAACTGCCCTCTAGTGGACATAACAGGAACGGCACGGCAGGTTCCTCTGTTGATTCATTCACACACTGCATTTTGCTCCCTTTGTTTCCAAACCCACCTAAAATGAGGAATTATAGGCCCTTTTTTCCTGAAAAGGAGAGACTTGTCGAGACTGCGTAAAGACTGTGAAGGGGCAGTGGTGCGGCAGAGTAATTCTAGACTGCAATGACACTGGCACCGCAAAAGCTGGTTGCTATGCAGACAGTATCATAACAAATAAACGTGAATATGCATCCACAAGACCCAAACGGAGCGGTCTTGAGTTACATGCATCTCCCAGTCAACATAAAGTGACTCATATTTCCAAAGCCATTTTATTATCAGCTGCAGGAATACAACTTTTCCACTGCCTCACTGCTGAGGCTAATTAGGTTTCAGTGCCAGTCTTTGTGCTGAAAAAGGGAGGGGCTGGGGAGAATACGAAGATTCCTGCCATCACGGACGAGAGTGGAGGAGCAGGAGGAGAGGAATTCAGAGAAATGAAAGGACAAGGGAGAGAGAAGCTCGCCGTTTCAACATAAACGACAACTAAAACAGCTGCCTATCGAGATGATTGAGCATTTCGTCAATTGGCTTTGGCATTTAAGACTAGAGCAATGTCCTGTTTTGAACATAAATAAAAAAAAGCACAAAGGGAAGTTTTTAAGATGAGCTTGGCTTTTCTCTCTTTTAAGCATATCCCCTTGGTTCCTTTTGATAAAATGGAGGCTAGAAATTTAAAAGCATGAAGTAGGTCAGTGACTTCAAAAGGATCTTTTGCACAGTAGGTTATTTATGAATATCTGAGGGTCCAAGTATTTCGTGGAAATCATGCTGATGGGTCTGGTGTGAACAGAGCTTTGGACATGACAGACTTAATATATTATAGAATTAGCAGCAAAGACCAACTGCAATACTATACACTAATAATACTATAAGAAATTAAAAAAAGCAAATCAAAATAGATGTTAAAATGTAAACAAGTGTCCTGGAAATGCATTATTGGGGTTTACATTTTAACATTTCATTTGATTTCATTTGATATAAGATGTTAATGTAAACAGGAGTCCTGGAAATGCATTATTGGTGTATGTTCAGGCAAGCACAACTATTAGGGACTACTATTTTCCATGCTTATGTCTCTGATAAGCCTAAATGTGAAAGGTACTTTAAATCTCGTATGATTTTAAGTCAAAAAACCCTGGCCCAGGGACCCACAGAGTGCGATTTCAGAGAATGGACAAAAAGAAAATTTAATTTTCAAGCTGTAGTTAACATTTTCACTTAAGATGTTAAGCGTTTAATGTGATGTATATCTATTTTTATATTAATATTTAACAAAAAATATTGTAATAAATCAGTTGTATGCTAAGAAATATATGGATGCTTAATTATAGAAAGTGGGCAACAAAAAAATAAATTTTAAAGTTATTTATAAGGGATAAGGAATCTTTTTTTCCCCATTTTTTCCCCCCATACATCTTTGTGTAGAACTGATCACTTTTAACACAGTCCACTAAACACACCCCTCATTATAGAGAGAAACAACAAATTAATGCAATTATATATTATGACAAAATATTTACCAGCAAAAGACATTTTAGAAAAAAATCTTGGGTGCAAAATTTATATAAAACCGGCATACAAATATATATTTGTATACATTTATTTAAAATGCATTTATTTCAAAGCTTTTTAATGGGGTAACAAGATATGATCGATATGACAGATTACCAGTAAATTCAAGCGCATGCTTTATAAAATGGAAAAAAGGCAGCAGAGGCAATTCTGTTACATAGTATTGGATCGGTGCGTCCTTATCTATTTCCGAGCCTTTAAGCAACTACCTAGCAAACTCATAGCTAGTCTCTGATAATCTTCAACACTCAACTTTTTGTCCTGGCTCTCTGCTTTTTCTGAGGCTTTAAAATCTTCTAAATGCTCTTAAAGAAGAAAAGGGGAAGTTCATCATAGGCTATTGGTCTGGACAGGTCTGAATGGCTATGGAAGGGAACAGCTGTAGGCAGGTTTAACTGTTGGGCGTTAGATTCTTTGGCACAGCTGTCAAGACAGATTTTCCAAAAGTGCACAAAGGGGTTTGTGGTTTCAACTTAAAAAAATGCGCTTGACAGGGCAGAAATGATCCAGTGAATGTAGGATTACATAGAAGGCCTGGGAGAGCCGCCCAACATTTAGACGGGACAGAGAAACACAATGAACAGATTCAGACAGGGGTCACGCTTTTAACAACAGTTGACATGGACTGGTTGGTTAAAAACGTCTCATCAACTGTTGGGTGGTCAACAAAAGATGCCTGGTCAGGGCTGCATTGTGTTTGTGCCATTAGCGCATCGATTGGTCTTCAGAAAGCAAGAAATGCTAGCTGACAGAGAATGGACACACCTTGCTGGGGTTTATACAGATAAGCAGCAGAAGCGGATTAAACACCATGCTAATGTTGGTGAACTAAATGTGTTGATCTAAAATGTAAAAAGTGCACCCCATGATGGCAGTTCCCAGAGAGCTCTATGCCATAAAGCATGCAGACCACGTGTTTTCAAGTAGCATTGCATTATTACAGGGACCAACACATTTTATGGTCCATCAGTCATAAGGAAAGCGTAGAATAAGATTTGAGCAGTGCTTGGGGCAAAGTCACGTCTTTTGCACTGACTGAGTACATTGGCTGGGGAGTGTTGATGTGGAGCTATCTGACGATCCGCTGAGCACCAGAGGACAAATTTGTTTGCATACATTTGCAACACATTTTTAAGGATACCATAAACTTTAAAGGAAGACACCTCACCTTTACTACACCCCTGGCGTCCTTTGCTTTGATGGGCAGCCCCATTTGGAACACCCTGCCCACCACCGCTGAGGAGTCTGGGAAGCCGCTGGGCTGCGACACGGACACAACCGCCGCTTCAGCCTCACGTAGGTCCGACAAGACCGCCGAGTGCATAGACGCCTCCAGCTGCCTTACATCGCCTAGAACTTCCATAGGGTTCTGATCCCAGGAAGCCCGCACTTCCGTTACGGTCAGCACCATTGCGATCAGCAGCACCACAAGAGTCCTGTCCCTCTGCCCCAGCATGGGGCGTCCCCCATCCCGGAACTCTTTCAGTTTATTGCGCATGCCTGCTTTTATTTTCTCTCGCACAAAAGAGGACGTCCAGTTGAGGGGGCAGCATGCACCCCACAGAGTCCGAAAGAACTGATCCTCTTTTCAAAAGCTCAATCCTCTCCTTTTGTTCTCGATTACGCCTCTTTTCCCTCCTTTTGTGAAAGTGCCCTCAGTAGTTTTGAAATCCCATAGTTAAGGGGCTGCCTCTAAGACCTGTGTTGAGAAAGAGAAAGAGAGGAATTCATTAACAAGCATTTCAATAGCAAAAGACTACACTGACATGTCTGACCAACGCAACTTAAAGGAGTGGTTCACTTTTGAAAAAACTTTTGCTGATTATTTACTCACCCCCATGTCATCCAAGATGTCCATATTTTTCTTTCTTCAGTCGAACAGAAATTAAGGTTTTTGATGAAAACATTCCAGCATTTTTCTCCATATAATGGACTTTACTGGTAACCAAACGGTTCATGGTCCGAAAGACAGTTTCAGTGCAAACTGTTCAAAGGGCTTTAAACGATTCCAGACGGAAATGGTCGGAGACAGGGGGTCAGTCCATAGCGACCGACCGGTTTAAACACTTCAGAGGAATGCACACCATCTGAAATTGTCTCATGGGGGGTGAATAAGGGTCTTATCAAGCGAAACGATCGCTCATTTACGATCGCTCATTTAATAAATACATACCAAACTTTAAATTTTATTAGCTCAAATGCTCACCTTGCTCTGTTCTGTGATGCGCGTTCATGACTCTCCTGTTCGAACTCGTTTATCAAAATGAAAGAATATTTTTTCATGTCATTTGGTTCATTCAACGAACGAAATGAACGAATTAACTCTGGAAAAGATTTGTTTATTTTGATAAACGAGTTCGAATAGCAGAGTCATGAACGCACATCACACCCTAACCGTAACCCTAATAGAGCAAGGCGAGCATTTGAGCTTATAAATCTTAAACATTTTTTTTTTTAATGAATGATCGTTTCGCTTGATAAGATCCTTATTCATCGCCTGGAACCCTTTGAACAGTTTGCACTGAAACTGTCGTTTGGACCTTGAACCGTTTGGTTCCCATTGAAGTCCATTATATGGAGAAAAATCCTGGAATGTTTTCATCAAAAACCTTAATTTCTTTTCGACTGAAGAAAGAAAGACATGGACATCTTGGATGACATGGGGGTGAGTAAATTATCAGCAAAAGTTTTTTTGAAAAGTGAACTACTCCTTTAAGATTGATACATCATGTTGGCGTCGTAAAGAGCCTGAAATGGCTTACTGCTAAAAGCTAGAGATGTGCAAAAAAAGAACTAGATGCAGAAGGCTAAAACAAGCAAGGTATTTTTGTTTAAAGTGTTTAACCATTTAACAATATTTTTTCAACAAATATTAAAAAAAATTAAGTGCACACGACACAAAACAAAAGGGAGTGCGAGATAAACTTGTTGACCTTCCTATTATGTTGTTTGTTAAATGATTAGTCAATTAGATCCGATTTCAAATACTGATCAAGGTATCTAATAAGTGACGTATCATGGTGCCATAAATCACTTTAGGTTAATGGTATAAGCCAGATCTTCGGTCTCTGCCAGTGCTGATGTTTCGCACTGCTTGCTTACCCACAAGCACACATACACAGGTGGATCAAGACTAATCTGATTACCATTCACAGCTTTCTCTCCCTTTTCTGCTCTCACACTGTGCTTTTCATTCCCGTTCTGCCTCATTCATCATCGAACATGTCCCTGAAAAAACACCCAGCACTTGAAGAGTAACCTGCTCCATGAGTGTTGACGGAAATGGTCGGAGACAGGGGGTCAGTCCATAGCGACCGACCGGTTTAAACACTTCAGAGGAATGCACACCATCTGAAATTGTCTCATGGGGGGGGAGCTCTACACTCTAGAGGTTTGTTATTCATGCAGGTCTTTCACTCCGAGAGGAAGGAGAAAAGGCCTGCGGTGAAAAGAGGGATGGGTTTAGTGCAGGGTGGGCCGGAGATTTTTATGCATTTGAAGAGGGAGCAGCTCCATACAATGCAGCTGATTTCCCCCGAGAACTGCTCTCGAGTCCTCGTGTCTAACCTATGAACGAGGGAAGTGGTTTCGAGAGGGGTGGGGCGGTCTCTCACGCTCCCCGTGTTCGGTGGGGGTTCGAGAGGAGCTTCTTCAGAAGACTCCCAAACAACAACACTGTAGACCCAACTCTCTATCCTTTGGGGATTAATTCTGAAAGCCAGCAGGAGAGTTACTCCTATAACAAAGTCCAAATAATCAACAACCCTTTTTCAAAGTCAGGTTTGTTTTGCAGTCTCAACCAGACGCCGACAAAACACCGTCCTCGAATGTTTAAAAAGACATCGAATGAAAATTAAAGACACATGGTTGACAGAAAAACATGGATACTACTGAGAGCAATAACATTGTGTTGTGGAGATAGAACATAAGGTGTGTTTTCGGGTTACGAGCAAGAATTTCAGGGAATGTTTAACAAAATATTTCATATTTACTCAACAGTGTGTAGGCCAAGGATCATCAATGGCCGACAAACTGCCGAGACGCTTCCTCCAAAGATTTTCAGATAAAATTAGGTTCACATTAGATTCTTACAGTTCGATAAGCTATTCATTTCAAGTCACCACAAATATAATCATTGGGATTTAGTGTCTGACTCTAATCTGTGCTTGCTCTCAGGTTCAGAGCTATTTGGAAAAAGTCACTGAAGTCCCTGACTTGTTAGTTTTCAAGAGGAACTTTCATTATGCCAGTGGATAATCTATAATGACTGCTGATGTACCTCATTACATAGACCAGAGGCACACACACAAAAGCCACCAATCCAACCGTTTTAAACTTAAGTCAATCTTACTTCACATGAACTGACTAAAGAGGAGTAACTCCTGCTGAAAACCCTGCCACCTTTCGACAAGTTTTTTTTAAAGACTTTTATTAGAAATTTGCAGAATGCCTGAAGTCTTATCGCACATCATTTATCCGTACAGGTATGGCTGGAGGTACAGTCAGTAGCGTGACCCTCTTCAGCTTTACGCACTTTTCCACTACAGTCCCACCATTGAGCATTCACAAAGAGCCAGATGAAATTGGCAGGTACATGAAAGAACTTAAACCTCATCTCCGGTTGCGGATAAAGACGTCCTTTCAGCTCTCAGGAATGGCGGGCTGATCTCTAAAAGGTGGAAAAAGGGGCCCATCACAGAATTCCTCCCTTGATCAGCCCGGCACAAGAAGCTGCACTGGTCACAGGAACCCTGCCGCCAGACTCACCGGCAATGGACTCGGACCCTTTCAGCAGTCAAAATGACCTGAGAAGAAATGGGCCATTCTGTTCTAAAGACAAAATGGAAATCACTTCATGCGTGAAAAAAAGAGAGAGAGAATCACGAAGGCCAGTGCCTACTACACACCAGCAAAACTACAGAGGGCCATTGTGTCGGAGGCCTGAAACAGTCCACTGGACGCTCCGGGAGATTAGGATTTGACAGGGATGTATATAGGTTGGGGGAGAGGGCAAGCAGTAAGAGGCTTGCAGACAACAGTTCAGTTGGCAAAGGGGGAAGAGTGCCCTTTGCCCTGGTACCATGGCGACACCCCTTGTCCATCACCCCCAGGGGGCCATGCTATTGGACAAGCTTATAAAAAGGATTGAGTCATGCATTCCAGTTGATGCAATACAACAATATTTACTTGCAGCCAAGGCAGGGCTCCAGACAAAATAAATAGACTATAATAATAGTCTAATAGGCTAATAATCAATTCATGATTGGCTCCTATTAGGGATTTTTTTTACTATGAATCATTTAATTATTTTTTAAGTGCACAAAAAAATACATGTTTCAATTTTGTCATGCGTTGTCACGTCTGCCCTCCTTTTACAGCATCAGCATTTTCATCCATCTTGTGGATGTCCTGGGAACCAACGACGCTTTTCCATTCGACTCGGCTCGCTTTGGCTCGGCTCGACTCAGCTCGCTTTTCGTTCCATTTTCCATTGCAGACAATACCGACACAAATAGTACCCAGTCGTCATAGCGATGCTTTTCGTTTCTCACTGCCCTATCAATCTCTCGCTGGATCCTCTCTTCGGCAACCAAACAAAGGAAAGTCTGCACCTCCTCGTTTGACCATGGCGTATTCTTCTAAGTTGCCATAATAATAGTAGTTAGTTTAGTAACCATCTCTGGCCAAAATATTTAAACATGGCGGGGTTACTCCATCTGGCGCGTGTAATGATGACGCAGTGAATGGTGACAATTCTCTCTGACCAATCAGCAGTCTGCATTGTTTTCACATGACATTTTAGTACTGCCTTAGCTCGCCTCAGCTCGATCAGAACCTTGCCGGAGGTGGTACAAAAAAGTACCCGAAAGCAGGAACAGGTACAACTTTTACACAGTGGAAAACCAAACAAAGGCAAGCCGAGTCGAGTCGAGCTGGTACTGTGTAGTGGAAAAGTGCCATAAGATTCACTTATAGTAGGGACGGAATTGTTTTTCCAACTTGAGAACATAGTCACAAAGATTTGTCCTTCACACACAATCTGAGCCTTTGTCACTAACCATTATAATGCCAGCTTTACTTGGCCAAAAAGTCTAGTTTGGACAAAGTACAGTACATCCTATAAATGTTTTTAGCTCCTTGCATCTCATGTAGACAACAGGTTAAGTACAAATATAAGAATTATGTCCAATAGTGCATATGTTTAGCAAAATTACCCTTTCTATATTTATTTGCCTGACTAATTTATTTGTCGTTGACCTTTCAATGGCTTTTCTGAGGTAAATTTGACATTATGTAACATGATTGTTCTCAAGCCTTTTTATAAAGGCTCTTTTCCAAGGTCGAAATGCTAAGTGAGCGGACCGTCAAGCCACATTAAAGAGCACCAAAACGACATTACTTGTATATTAACAAACTTTCAGCTTTCAAATTCTGTCAATTTTATATTGTTTACTAAAATTAACAAAACACATTAAAGGTGACAAATAAGTACAAATCTTACTGCGTTTAATGGATGGCTGAGCTACAAATAAGGCCTAAAAAAAAAAAAAGTTTGGTTCCGGTTGGTTGTCAGTTGAGGTCATGGGTCGGTAGGGAATTTTTTTTTTTTTTTTTTTTTTTTTCAGTGGCAGCAAGGGATGGGTAGGAAATTCAAGGGATAGTTCACAAAATTATTTTTTATATGTTTTAGCTTACCTC